TCAAAAGTGTGAACTTTTTGTGTATCTCTGTGGATGCAAGCCATATTTTTCCCTACTGTCTTCTTGCCTCTCTGTCATTATTGTCAGAGCAAGCACAGCAGGTAGGCATCTTTGACAAGACCTTTCTGAGCAAGCTCAGGTTATTTTCCAAGCCCCACCTCAGGCAAATGCCAACCAGGATGCCAGAGTTCTTATTGTATGTTGATCAGTAGCATTAAAAACTTCAGGAGAGTTTGCCCTTCAAGAGAATGGGGTTATAGAGCCTGCAGGACAGACCCATGGTCCATTTATTGCAATATTCTGTAGTAAGCGGTTTTGAAGAGAGAAAGAATAAGCAAAAAAGTGTGCTCAGAGCAGTGCAGCATGAACATATCTCAGGGGTGAATTTCTTCTTCCTGTCTCATCATAGCTCTCAGACATGTTTTGTCTCCAGAGAATGAAGTTCGGTTCTAAGACATAGTAGCACTGTGCCAAAACTTTTGTTCATCCAGATTGTCTTAGTGAGGCCAGCTGGGCCTGTCATGTAAATAAACAGTAAACACATGAGTGGGGATTTACACAAATGAGTGCTGTAACAGGATAATAACCTCTAATATATCCTGTCTATGAAATGGCAGACTAATTATCTGTTTCTAGCATTTCTAAGTAATAAAAACGTTCTGTAATAAGACCTAAAAAATGATGTGAGTTATGACATTATTCTTTTTGCTTTTTGATCTCCTAGTAGACCAGTCAACTACTGTAGTCAGTTGATAGTTGAATTCTACAAGTAGATATTCACTTCATCTCAAATATTCAACGTAGACACATAACCAAACTGATACCTTTATTAGCCTATGAAGTTATACTGGCCCATAAACTATACAGGATTCATTTTATTTCTCCATGATACTATAATTGCTTTGAGAGAAGCTAAAAGGCAGTCACAAAAAATAGAACAGTATTGTCACTATCCCATACAACACCACACTGGTTTTGTCAGAGCCTCAGCTAAGACAGGCTGGAAAATGAGAGGAAAAATTCCATGACACCTACTCACAAACACACCCTTGGAAACCATCTGTCTCCAAATTAGAGGAAATTTCCAACTAAGTAGTTAAAAGGAATTAGGACAGGTAAGAAAGAGAACAGAGAAATTGAAAGCAGAAGAGTTTAAGCTGAACCCAGAGCTCCTTAAAGAATATGTTTCAAATTAAAAAAAAAAAAAAAAAGAAAGAAAAAAAAAAAGGCTTATTTCAGTAGGATGAGCAATTTCACATAAAGAACAGTGTTTAGCCCCTCTTACCAGCCTTTGCAAGGGGATCAGCAAGAGAAGGCTGGCCAGCAGCACTAGCATCCTAGAGTCCACCTAATACACTATAAAAAACATTAAGCTTGAGTATCTTTCCCTTTTTTCTTGAACTGGAAAACTGCAGTTTGTAATTTTCATTCAGATTTTCGTGTTGATTCTTCAACCAAAGATTATTCACCAGATTCTTACAGCATTCCAGAGGTTATTAGTCAAACCAAACAGACAATTTACTGGTAGAAGCATGCCCACAATCCGTAAGGAAAGATCTGATTGCATCAGCTCCAGCTGGTGTAGATGTCCTTCACCTTGATAGTTCTTTTAATCCCAAGGTATTTAGTGTTCTTGTTCTTGCAAAAAGGAAGAAAACTCTGGCTTGGGGAAGTCTAAGGCAGTTCTCTCCTGAGGAGTGATGTGTCAGGATGAGGTGGAGAGCACTGCCTGGTCAAGGATTAAAAAGCCCTTTTAAAGAAGTGCAGAGCTCTGATAAAGCCAGCACAGAAATGTGAAGTAGGTTGGGATCCCATCTGGAAGCAGAGATAACGTTAACTGTCCTTCTCCTCCTTAGCTCCTCTGGTTTCTAATATTGTGCTGCTAATCCTATTCTTACACCACTGCAGAGTGGCACCTTGTTGAACTGTTTACATTGGGTATACTCAAAATTAGTGTGTAAATACAGATTCTATACTAAGACTGCTAACCTGTCTCTAGTAGCTGCTTTCCAGTCACCCTTCCAAATGACGGCAGTGAGTTAATCACCTGCGAAACCCCATGGCCTCTGATAACTCTTCTGCACAGAAAAAGAGCCAAAAGGAGGAGTCAGGGTCTCGTTCTGACTACAGAGAAGTGAAGTCCATTTTCCATTGCCTGCTAGTGATAGGCTGGGTGACGGGAGCACCTGCAGACATTGTGTGAGTCCCTGAAGAGAGAGATGTTTGTGCAGCTGCTTGAATTCCATGGTCAGAGAGCATTTGCTGAATATTGCTGAAATAGGGTGAGAGATGACATAAAAGTCTCATACTGGGTTGCTTTCAAAGTGATCTGTGACACTGCACCAGCTGATGCTCCTGACAATATCTGCAGCCACTGGTGAAACAAGATAATGGCATGAAGGATGATGCCAAGTGATAAATGCAGCCTACCTACATTTCCTTCGTGGAATTGCTCTATTATCTTGGGCAGTATTTCAGAAACTGGCTCTTTGACTGCTAAAAGTGAGTCCACAGAAGGGCTTGTGAATTTATTCAGAGGCATCTCCTCTCCTGTTTGCGTAGAGATAAAAAGAAGCTAGACTGCGACAGGCTCCAGCAGGAACTTGACAAGATAAACAGCCCCACTAAAACGTCAATTCAGCTGCATATAATGCAGTTGCAGATTATGTCCCTATTTTCTCCTTCTGGCCTCCTAGTGTATGTTGTAGTGTGAAGTGAAAGAGGCAGAAAGCCCACAGGATTTGCATTTTCAAACCCTTCAAAAGCAACGCAGGAGGTCATTAAAACAATAAAGATAATGGCCATAAGATGGCAGCAGAGGATTTGTAGTGGTACTTAAAGCTGCATTAACGGGGCGAAAATCGAGTTCCTCCGTTCCAGCAGTACATTTGTAACGTCATTTGTGCACTCAGATCCGCAGAGCTCCTGATGATTTCAGCCCAATAGAGACCTGGTGACACAGAGCAAATGACATAATCGAAGCCTTCGTATGCAACTTCCCTGAAAAAAATATTTACTGAAAGGGAGAGAAAAATATAAAACTAACAGAAAGATGCAAATGTAGACAGGAAGCTTGATGTTGTTTTTGTCCGAACAACAACAACCCTAACTTGTTAGTACAGCAGATATCGGGATTTCACTAATCTCTCTCAAATTTTTCCCAGAAAAATTTTCACTGCTTTCAGGGAGCACTTTGTTCCTTTTTACTAGCTGGCGTGCAGAGGAGAGTTTCGCTGTGAGCAGTAAAGCCCCATCAGTTTATGCCAATAGAGGAACCAGTCACAGGTGTTTGACCAAGAGAAGCAGAGATACTTATGAACTGTCTTCTCCTTGGCCAAAATCAGCATAGCTGGTACAAGCCACAGCAGCTTGCCAAACAAGAGATCTTCATGCTCACACTAGCAGTCATCTCTATGGACTTATCCCATGTTCTTACTTCAGGGCAAGGGCTTTCAGAGAAATGCTGAACTCAGAAGATGGTCAATCAGGAGAAGCCTGTCCCTCCTCTCCCTCACTGTCATGGTGTACTGGGATCATGACCTGAATTTCAATGCAGTCACTTCTGATTCACACTGAGGCACAGGAGGGGAGAAGGAAGACTCATGAGCCAGGATCCTGCTCCTTCGGGTTTGCAAGAGCAGACTTTGCCTTCCAGGCATCTCTTTAAATACAGATAAATATTGTACAGAGGAACAGAGAGAAGCAGCACACCAACCTGCTTTACATAAGGAGTATTTATTGCAATCAGCAGCTGAAGATGGCTGCACCAGCTTACACGCAACCAAAGAGATTTGGTCTTTCTCAGTCTCCTGAGGGTCAGCAGTCCCTGAGCTTGCAGATGAGATCTGCCATCTACCTCTCAGGGAAAGAAAGCTGATGGAGTATATCAAGGGAGGCTGTGCAGAAAGTTGCTAAGGTTTAATATTCATACCAGAGGACAGATTGAAGTAGTGCAGAGAGGGAAGAGGATATGTGTATAAATACACATATACGTTTTTTATACATATATATATGAAAGATACAAGTTGCCTTGAACAAACCAAATGCTGACCCAACTTCAATCCATCCATGAACCAATTTTCTTTTTTTTTATTTTGTAAAGTTTATTGCTTTTATTTTCTTTTTTTTGGAGCTGTTTAGACACTTTTAGTTCGAAGCATAAATGCTAAAGCATCAAAGAGGAAGAGATTTTTTTTGTTGTTCTGCTTAGGTATATTCAGTTTCACCAGAAACCAACTGTCAACACAAACAACAAGAGATTTTCAAGTTACTTTTTACAGACAGTCACTCAATACAGCATAGAAATGAGAAGGCTTATCTAAAAGGGCTCCTTAAACACACCTTTTGGCATTTATCTGTTGTTGCTATACAGACAAATTTTGTGACAGAAGAATCAGAAGAGTATACCAGAACCTGATTTCTGGCTATGTAATAGTATGTCCATACTTCTGTCTTTACAAAAGGATCCTACAATGGCACTCATTTAGGATGATTAAGCTACCTGAAGATACTGAACTTTCCCAGTCATTGTACCAGGAGACAGCCATTCTGCCTTCTTCCCAGGAAGCATCCCAGGATCAGATCCATCACATTTACACACATTGTGACATTCTCCTATAATCCTCCTTCATTTTGCAGAAGAGGTCAAAAGGTCTTGTTACATTTCTGAGGCATACCTTGATTTTCTTTAGAGTAATCACCATTTTTTGCACCTGTTGTGTCCTGGGGATTCAAATGGAAGGAGGTAAAATCGTCTTCTGGTGAAGCTCAAAATACCACAAAAGACAAATGAAGAGAAACTTTTTTCATGAAAGGAAGAAAGCTAATGCAAGCTTGACAAGTGGGATAATTATTGCCTTGATGTTCCAGCTGGTTAGGGAGACAATGGAAGAACAACGCAGCCTAGATGTTTGTCTTTCTTCCTTCCCAGCCACAACCTTCTTTCTCCTGGGGGGTTCAGAGTGATCCCAAGCCAAGTGAACGAAGTGACCATCCCATCCTTAGTATCTCCCAAAGAAACGGTTGTAGGCCATGGAGAATCCTATTTGATCAGAGAGATAGTCACAGGGGGGGTAGTTTTCACAACGCTCATGCATCTGCTCCATTGGACTTTTGTAATACTCTAAGTACCTGGAGTAGACAAAGAGAGAGATGCCATTCTGCAGATTCAGTCGATGCGGTTAGAGACGTTTTACACCTGTGATACTAACACAAGAAGAATGATTCCCCAAGGTGCCCCAAAAGGGGAAATCTTGTGGTAAGTTAGACATCTACTTACACAGGGATGGACTACTTAATTAATGCTGGAAAAACCTTGAACTGAACCCAACTTAAAGCAGTTGGTCTTGAGGTTTTATCAGCAAAGGAGACCACAGAAGCAGCTAGGGATTTTTTTGGTCCCCAGCCTCATTCCTGAACTACCCAGGAATCTTTCTTCTTGTTGTAATTTATTTTAATTTTTGTTTAATTATTTCTTGCTTACCTTTATCTTCTCCCAGTTTCTGCTTACTTTCCTGCTAGTCATTATTTTTCTTTAGCTTAAAGAGTTTCCTCTCATCATCCTCACTTCTGCTGTTGACAACAATACTATCCTCACTCAGCTTTTGTTTTGCCAGGCTAAGCAAGCACAAATCTTTTCATCTCAGCTACACATTCTGGATGAATTTCTCAACTCCTGTTCCAGGTTTGGTTAATCTTTCCCCCTACAGGAGAAGTCCCACCAGAATCTCATGAATTTCTTTATTTCTGTATTGGAAAAACCCTGGAGGACCCTTGAATTCCTTTTGTTGCATCCATATTTCCAAATTAACCTTACCTCATGATCAAATAATACAAGGAGCTGTCTGTCTACCTCAGTCCTTACCCATTCATGCTTACTGCGGAAGCAACTCTTACAATGCACCACCTGTAAGGAGGTAGTCAGTACAGTCAATACGGTTGCTACTTCTGAATTTCATCTTGTTTTTAATCACTGCAGGTTTCAACATCAGACAGTTCCTCTGCTACAATATTTTAATCCTCTTCTCTACAGATGGAGCCTCCCAATTTTCTATTATCTAAAAACAACTTTATCCTTCTAGTCCAAAGATGGATTGAATAAAAATTCTTTTCACCACAGGCCTACATGAGACAATGACTTAACAAACTCTTCCAGAAAATGTTAATAACGTTCTTCAATGACCTCAGATTTCTCCAAATGCTTATAGCTAGGATTTCTCCAAATGCTTATAGCTAGGATTTCTCCAAATCTTCATGTCAAAGATTTCTGTACAAATGGACATAGGTTCTACAGCTTCAGAAAGAGCAGCCGATCTGATCTAGCCTCATCCCTGCAACAGAGCTGTGCTTCCTTTGTAGGGAGCCAGAGGCAATTACCAAGGCCTTGTGATGCTCATTATCCGGGAAATCAGCTCAGAAGACCCTACAGGTTGGAGCAGCTTCTAAATCGTCTCCTGCTGACCCCATGGCTAGCCCAGACAGCTAGTACTGTCTTCCTGGGAGGAATAACATAAGCTGGCTATAGCTCTCAAAAGGCTATTTTTGAAAAAAAGAACCAGTTATTCATCAATTAGTATCTCCTACAACCTTTTTGCTTCTACACATAAAGATAATAACATGAACGTGCAACAAATGAATGCGTTGTCATGTCCTATTGCCTTCCCACCCACTCTTCAGAACAGGTCCAGAGTCCAGCGCTCAGTCTGACTCCTGAGTTGTTACCATTCATACAGGCTCGATCTCTTCTGCCTCTTCACAAAGGCATTGGCAACTTCCTTTTCAATCTTGATGCCTACCAAGAGAGAATACAGTAGGTTAGAGACGCAGGGCCATGGTCTATGCAAAATGAAGACTGCTCTAACCTCTGAAAATGGGCAGTCTACTCTCTTCACAAGCACTTGACTGTCATGGCTCATCCTAATTGCCCGTTCGTCTCTCCCCACCCCACTGTCCGCTCAAAGCCCAAGAGCTGGGCTCCTTCTTCACTCCAACCTGCACAGGCACATGGAGCAAGAGCCTTTTCTGTCATAAACTGTGTTCCCTTATCACACAGCATGATCTGTGTCCACAGCAAATGTGCAGGAGGCCAAGTCAGGACAGCATAAAATACAAATAAGAAGAAAATTAAAGGAATGGCACCATTTCTCCCTGGCCCACTTAACTTCAGGGTCTTGGCTTCCTTTCTATACTTTGGCTCAGACTGAGAGTGATGTGAAATACCAGCCACCAGGCCCTAGAATGCCTCTAATGAGCCATAAGACACAGGCAGTACATGGAAATACCCATGCTCACATGTGCACAGTTCCATGACAGGTGAAGGGTATAAAATAATGACAGTAAATCTCACAGAGGGAGAAATACATCCAGTAGGTGCAAAGATCCAGGTGTTCAGGCATCTGGAGAACACGAGAGGTCTTTCTACCATGACAGCAGTAGCTCCCTGTCTCCACTAACACACTGCATCAGCACAGTTGCTTATTTGTTCCCTCAGATTTGTGGTTGTGTAAACACCGGGGTGCTGTGGAGCACCCCACAAACAGCAGGTAGAGACACCTTGCCCCACAGTTCCAGCCAGGGCTCAACACAGCCCAGCCCAGCCTCTCTCCATGGGACAGTCTCACACCAGCAGAGGTGTGCACAGATGCCAGCACACAAGCAACATGGGGAGCTGCACACCAGTACGTGTCTCTGCAGCAAAACTGGCAAACTGTCTCTGTCACTGGGGGAAAGCAGTTTCTAAGACCTCAGCCTGTGGGGAGAGAGTGGGTTTTGTGCCCTTCCCTCAACATCGTGAGGTGTTTGGTCATGTTTCTATTTGGCAGGTGCCCTGTCTCAAGCAAGCTTTGGGGTTTAGTCTGGATGAAAATAGCAACTATACAGAAACGGCCAATTAATGATCTGACAGAAATCACCACCTTTCCCTTAACACTCTCTGCATTTTTTTTCTCTCTTCCAATCTGTGTTTGCATTGGCTTACTGGAGTAATACCAGCTTTCATGCTCCTCAGCAGCAGTGTTATCCTTTAAGTTGTGAGAATGTAGAGGCAGGGAAGAATGGGGGGGATTTTCCATACAGATTTCTGCCAGGAACAGCTTGCTGCAAAAGCTGTGGACATGCCAAGATGTGCAAATCCCCATGTTCCAGGTGACCTGACAGAGGAGGCACTGCAGCTCTCGGTAGCAGCTAAGGCAAGAGCTTGCTTTCAGGCTCTCCAGCTTGTGGGCTTTGGCAGGGATGTCACATCTTGTTGCCATACAGCACCAAACCTTCCTGCTCTGTGATCCTGCACACCAAACTGGCTGCTCAGCTGATCCCAAAGACCAGTGCCTGAAGGCCTTGGGGCAGGTTCTGCTCTCTTAACAGTCTGGGGACACAGCAGTTCACTTTGAATAGGTCTCTGAGGCCAGGTCAGTGAAGCAGGGAGTCTGGCCATGTTCCTCCAGCCACATTAACCTGTTTCACGGAGAGGAGAGGCATCCCGCTGCTAAAAACCTGCAGGACTCGTGTCTTGCCTGAAGGCTGCCCAAGAGTTGTGGAGATGCAGGTGATGACGCTAGCACATCCGGACAGGTGCTAGGCTGCTGGTGCAAGGGAGGCTAACCTCCCTGCTGTCTCCTGCTCCTATGGTTGTGAAAGGCAGCCCCTCTGTTGGCTGCAGGTTCTCCTGCACCTGAGGGACTGCAGTGCTGAGGGAGCAGAAAGGGAGCAGCTAGAGAGACTCAGCATGGTTCTTGTTCATCCCTTGAACCTGTCAAAGAGAAGAAGGGAAGTAGATGTAGGAGAACGGAGCTGAGCATCAGTCACAACGATATACTCACTGGTGGGGTTGTGAGATCCTGAGAGGTCTTTGGGATCTGGAAGACAGAAAGGAGTTTGCTTATGAGTCCTTCTCCTCTGCTCTGCTAACTGAATTCCTCTGCCTACTGGGTGGATCTATCTCCTCCCTTTTCCCAGAAAGTCTGTTCCTCCCAAAAAAGGGTTTTATTAACACCCACCATTTAGGGATAGACTTCATCACAGCAAAATTCACCCATTATGCTTAGACTTGTTGAATTTCAACTTCTTCTGATCCAGATTAAATGACACAATAACCATAGAACCACCATGGAAGCTGGAGGAAGATCTTCCTCCTTCTCCCTCCCCACCCTTACTAAGAGCAGGGACAGTTAGACCTAGGGGGCCATTTGAGAAAAAAACCAAATTTGGATAGAACCTGAAGATAGCTGAGCATCTCCTCTGTCTTTGGAAAGAGGAGAAATCACAAACTATTCATAGAGAAGGGAAATAGGGCCGAAAATTAGGAACAACTCTACACTCACAGCTTTGTTGCTCAGGGTTGATGTATCTGGCTCACCAGCGCTCCCAAGAGGAGTTTACACACTATATTTCTGTGTTCAGTCCTAATCTTAATCTTTAATCCTTAATGCTCCCTGCAAACACCCAAGGAACATGTCGTCTAAGACCAATGATAGATATCCTAATCTTACCTCTCCCACACTGCCCTATTTCATATTTTATTTCTCTCACTGTTTCACCATATTTTTCTTCAACAATGTCAGTTCCTCCTAAATCACCAGGTATTTGGCCTAAGTGTATTTAAGGGCAGAAAGAAGACTCTAGAGACCAAACAAATAACAACTGTGCTTAAACAAAAACTTTGTGTGAAAAGGGTTGTGAATAGTTCCCTTTTTAAGCTCTGTACACATTCCTTGGATTTTTTAAAAAATAAAATAAATAAATTAGAAGTTACTCCAAGGGCCTTAAGCAATTTGGAATAATAATAATGACTAAAAAAAAGCACATATACACTCAAGAGTGAAAAAGTGAGAGATAGATTGACAGATTAAACAAAATATATTTGCCAGTAATGAATCATGACATATCTGATGCCAAAGACAATGAAATTTAACTCTGAATGGGATAATATAAGAAAAGATAGGACCCTCTCCTGCTCGGCTTCTCTTTTCCTACTATAAAGAGAAAATATCTATTCTTTCTGCTCTTTCCCCCCTCCCCTCTCCATTAACTATAGAGCTGCCACTACGTTCCTGTCTCTTCATCATAAAGTCACCACAACTAAATCACCTTCAAATGTGATATGCTCTTATTTCAATGGGACATTTAACCACCTATTGTAGTTTTTTCCCCTCCAGAAGTTCTCCACAGGTTTCTCAGCAGGTATAGTCTTGACTCAGTGCCTGTATCTGTGATCCTACAGCATGCCAGGGCTGGCAGGAACAAAGTCCCTCTCCCTGTGGTCAGCACAGCTCTGCCTGCAGCTCAACCCTCTTATTCAAAAGTGAGTGTCCGGCATACCTTTGACAGTTCACCTAAATGCTAAATGCAAGAGATGAGGCTTTTTATCCCCAAGCCTTCTCTCGTCTGTGATTCTCTCTTAGACAGAGATCCGAGGTTGTGCAATGACCAGCGGTGCACTTCCTTCCCCCCGAAGCCACGCATCTCTCCCAGACCGAGGGGAGGCTGGCGACAAGCCGCAGGGTTGAGCAGGGCTTCCGGGAGCCTTCCTGGGAAGACATCCCCTTACCTTTCTCACAACGGCAGAGAGCTGCCAGGGCCAGAGTCACAATCAGCAGTGCCAGCAGACTCCTCATGTCTTCTTTGGCTGCGCTAGTCTCCCTAACCTCAGAGCTCTCCTGGAGGTTACTGAAGTTCTCTGGAGCTTGCTTTTGGGCAGTAGTTTATATCCTGTGATTGCCTGGAGGGATCAGGGCTCTGGCTTGTGTTCCTGTGTGTAAGGTCCAAAACAAAGCCCATCCTTTGGGACAGGAGATATCAGGTCCTGGCAGCCGTTTTGACATCCATCTCAGGACTTGTGGCGTTTCCAGCAGATTTTATCTGAGGTTTTGAATGAGACTGTTGAAGGAAAACAACTGGATAAAAAAGTCAGTTTTATTATAAACGTGAAAGTCAGTCAGCTTCTTGCCGGAAAGCCAGGGGAGAGACCAGCACATCCTGAAGCAGGGCAGCTCCTTTCATGTGATTGAGCTCTCTCAGGTGGATAATCAAATGAGACTGAACCCAATGGTGACCCTTTTCCCCCATTCCACCCTGATCCATTCCCTCGAAGGTAAAGAAACCCATGAAACAGTTTGCATAGGGCAAACACAGAGTAGATTTTCACTTCAGACAGTTCCACCAAACCGCTTCAGAGAAATAAGATTTTCATACTGTTGGGATCTTTGTTAGTTAGTTTGGGAGAGAGTCTTTCTTTTTTGTTCCTGGAAATCTTCCTAGTATGGAGGTTATTACTTTGGCTTCTCTTGTCTAAAAATCAAATAAATTTTGAAACCAAAAGTGTTTTGTTCTTAAGGACTTGAGTGGCTGTGGTTGCTTGGTATGTCAAGAGCTCTGCATGAGCTTTTGTACAGCCTGCCTACCAATAACCCCATTCTGCCCAAGCCCACCAGCCAAGTCCCCAAAGCCAAGTCTCAAACACAGCATATGGATCACATTTTCCTCCACCTCACATCCAGTCCTCCTCAGCCCTACATGTGGAGAAGACATCCAAGGGTTACAGAATTAAAGCCTAAAAGGCTCCCAAGGGCAGTCAGAGCAAGTAGGTGTTGTGCTTGTCCCTAGAAACACTGTTTTTTAGCTTAGATAATTCCAGGATTAAAAAAAAAAAAAAAAGTTTAACTCTTCTACAGTCCAGAAACAACTCAATATATATACTAATAACTTCCAGCAAAAGTATCTTAGAGAGCAACTGTTTAAAAAGCAAACAAAAAATTGGACCTTGTTCTCACCAACAATGAAGGGCTGGTGGGGAATGTGACGCTCAAGGACAGCTTTGGCTGCAGTGATCATGAAATGGTAGAATTCAAGATACTTAGAGAAGCAAGGAGGATGCATAGCAGGCTCACCACCCTGGGTTTCAGCAGAGCAGACTTTGGCCTCTTCAGGGATCTCCTCGGTAGAGTACAATGGAACGAGGCCCTGGAGGGAAGAGGGGCCCAAGAAAGCTGGTTAATCAGGAGTCGTGCATCCCAACAGAGAGAAAGTTAAGTAGAAACGCCAGGAGGCCTGCATGAATGAACAAGAAGCTCCTGGACCAACTCGGGCACAGAAGGAAGGCCTATAGGGGGTGGAAGCAAGGACAGGTAGCCTGGGAAGAGTACAGAGAAATTGTCCGAGCAACCAGAGATCAGGTTAGAAAAGCGAAAACCCTGATAGAATTACATCTGGCCAGGGACATCAAGGGCAACAACAAAAACTTCTATAGATATGTCAGTGATAAAAAGAGATCTAGGGAAAATGTAGGCCCTCTCCGGAAGGAAACGGGGACCTGGCTACCCGGGATATGGAGAAGGCTGAGGTTCTCAATGACTTCTTTGCCTCAGTCTTCACTGGCAAGAGCTCCAGTAGCACAGCCCAAGTCACAAGAGGCAAAGGCAGGGACTGGGAGAATGAAGAACCGCCCACTGTAGGAGAAGATCAGGTCCGAGACCATCTTAAGAACCTGAAGGTGGACAAGTTAGAATCATAGAATCATAGAATGGTTA